TTTAGACTTTAAAGTTACTATGTTCCTAATAAATTTCAAAATTAAACAAACACACCAGAACAAAAACCCATTATCATCAGGTCACCTTTGATTAATGATGACCTCACATGTTATAGAAGAGAACTGTGCTCCGTAAGAGTTCTCTCAGCTGTATTTTTGTAAATGCATTTTGTAATTCTTTTCTTGCATATGTAGGTTTTCATTACACTATGCGCTCTTGTTGGATTTACCTTTTCATCATTACATAATAATGTCTTTGATTCTATACTGATTTTGGAAATATTTTATCAGAAATTAATGTTGCCACCTTTTTTTCTTTGTTACCATTGTTTGTTAATTGGTTTTATAATCATTTGGATTTTTGTTTTAAGGTTTGTTTTGGTTTTGGTTTTTTTTTGAGGGGTTAGGGTACTTTTCTGTCTAAGATGCATCTCTTATAGGTAGAATATTGGTGGGTCATATTTTCTTAAGCATTCTTTCTTAATCTGTCTCTTAGCTGCTACATTTAATCCATTTACACTCAAGGTAAATAGTCATAGTGTGACATTGCCGCTCTCCTGTGTTGGTGTTGTTTGGGGGATGTTATTTCTTTATTCTAGATTTTTTTTTCTGTGCTGAGTCTATTGTCAGGTTTTTCATTTATTTCTTTCATTTCTCTTGATTTTGTGTTTGCTGAATCATTGAGATTATTCTTTTTAATTTCTTTTACTTTTTAAATTTTTTTATTTTGCTAAAACGTATGTCAGTTTGGGAGATGTTACACTGTAATTCTTCTCCAAGTACTTCAGGTCCTCCTCACTTTCAACAAGCAAGGTTATGTCATCTGCAAAACATAAGTTATTAATGAGTCTTCCTCCAATTTTGATGCCACATTCCTCCTCACAGAGTCTGGCTTCTAGAATAATTTGCTCAGCATACAGATTGAATAAGTATGGAGATAGAATGCAACCCTGACACACTCTTCTTAATTTTAAACCATGTAGTGGTCCCTTGCTCTGTTCACACAACAGCCTCCTGGTCCAGGTATATGAGTTTCACAAGATCACAGTGAAGTGCTCTGGTATTCCCATTCTTCTCAATGTTAGCCATAACTTGTTATGATCCACACAGTCAAATATCTTTGCATAAGTCAATCAAGCAGACATTCTCCTGGTATTCTTTACTTTCAGCCAGGATCCATCTGATATGAGCAATGATATCTCTGGTACCACGGCCTCTTCTAAATACCTCTTGAATTTCTGGCAGTTTGTTATCTTTGTACTGTTCTAGCCATTTTTTTTTTTTTTTTTAGGGAAAATGGAGGGTTTTCTCTTAGATGAGTTATGCATGATAAAGGTGTCAGTCGGTGAATGTAAGGGCATAAACCAAACCTCTAGTGTGCTCAGATATGGGCAGAACTGTTGCTACCCAATCCCAATGATGCTTCAAATCACATCACTTTGTCTGCAAGTGCTTCAAGCTTGCACAATTCTTTCATTACTGCTGCTGGTTTTATAATTGTTGATTTTTGTCAAATTTTTTTGGTGGTTTACATACAATGTTGTAGTAAATCCCCTGTATCAATAACTTTTTCTTTTTTTTTAATTTAGGTTGTTTATTTTTCATTTCAATGAACATCTACAGAGATTTTGGAATTCCATTCATTCATTGTTGCACCCTTCTCCCCACACAAACCCCTCCCCCCTCCCCCCCAGCCCTTTTTAAATTACCTTCAGCAGGAGTTTGCTTGCATGTGATATTAATGATATCATTTGATAGTTTCCAGGTGCTGTTGTATTACCTCTCTTAGGAATAGGAACAAATATAAATGTCTTCCAGTCAGTTGGCCAGACAGCTGTAATCTGAAGTGAAAAGGACTTAACAGCCTTCAATTTGGATTGTATCTCAATGTCGAGAAAATAAAGATTCTTACCACTGGATCTATAGGCAGCTTCACGATAGATGGAGAAAAGAGTGAAACTGTAAACAGCTTCACTTTACTTGGATACACAATAAACACCTTTGATACCAGCAGTCAGGAAATCAGGAGATATATTGGTCCAGGAAAGTCTGCATTTAGGGACCTTTCCAAATTATTGAGGAGTAATGATGTCCATTTGAGGACTAATGTGCATCTGATTCAGGTCATAGTCTTCCTGATCACTTGCTATGCATCTGAGAGCTGGTCAATGAATAAGGATGATAGAATTGATACCTTTGGTGCTGTGGTCTTGGAAAAGAGCACTGAACATCTCAACTTATTGTTTTTGTTGTTGTAATTGTTGCCATCGAGTCACCTGCAACTAATAGCAACACTATGTATGATAGCTCTGAGCCCTGCCCTATCCTGCGCCAACCTCATCATCTCCGACAGACTTGATCCCATTTCTCCAGTCACTGAGTCAATCCGTCTCATCCTGGGCCTTCCTAATCTGCACTGTCTCTCTATCCTTCCAAGTATGATGTCTTTCTCCGTCACCACTTTTTCTTACTTTTCCACCTACAAATTGATGTCAAGAGATTTGTCTGCTAATTTACTGGTCCAGTTTTCTATTAATCCAATCAATCTTGAATGTTTTATCTATTTCTAAAATCTTGTTGATAATCTCAGGATTTCCAGTTATTGTCTTAATGTGGCTTCTAATTGCTTACATGTTCTACAATTTTTTATATTGTTTTCCTAATTTCTTCTGGCATACAGTCTGTGTTTCTTGATTTTGTGTGTGGTTTCCTTGATCACTTGCAGGGCCCTATATATGGCTTTTGTATTTTCTATTGTTTTTTTATAATTTTAATTCTTTGTATAATTTACTGTATTATTTATCCTTTCTTCCTCAGAAAGTTTTCTTGTTTTTTTTGTATTGGCCACTTTCTTGAGCCATCTTGGCCTATTTCTTTATTTGTTTATAAGTTACCTGTTCTCTCCAAGATACTGTAATGTTATTGTTAGGTTATTTCAATGTTATTTTTTGCTTTCATGTTGTTTTATTTCATCCTGACATGTTTTGTTTTTACATATCTAAGTGGGTGGGATGAGCATGCTACTCTGGTCAATCTTTTGAATGCATTTCTGAGCACACCCCTGTCTCAAGTTGATAACAAGTTGGAGTGTGGGTAGCTGCTGTGAAGCTATGAAAAATTGAGCAAGTAGTTTCCACTGCCTGTCGATCCTATGGTGCAGAAATAAGGGGTGACCCTTGACTGTTTGATAAGTTGCTAGATAGCAGTTATAGTAGGAATGGCTGATTAGTGGTAACACAATGTCCACATCTTTGACTGGAATTTTTTTCAGAAGCAGTTTATCAGGTTTTCTTCTATGGCACATCTGAAAAGGTTCAATTTCCCAGATTTTGTAATATTAGCAGATTACAAAATGATTGTTCCACCTAGCAACTTTCCAATAGAACTCCAAGGGGAAGCATCAAACAGTCTTAGGTTCAATAAAATGATGAATGTGGCTAATATGGAGGGAAGAATACATGGGTTGGAAATTTGAGGACCATTTTCAGCTCCTTCCAGTTTTAGAAACTAACACAGGAAGAAAAGAAACATGTGATGAAGATAAGAAGAGAATATTTGAGAAAATGGTCCAAATCCTTAGGAAGAGGAACATACACCTTAATTGGCCTCTTTCTTAGCCCCAGATGCCACATTTAGCAAAATAGCCATCCTCATTTAGTCAATGATACCATTGATTGTGCAAAGGGGAATCTTCAAGGACTGACAGTCCCTACTCACTCTTCAAAGGCAGGTCATCAGTGGTCACACCCATGTCAATTTGAAGATTTACTCAGTAATTAAACTCACATGAAAGACTTCAAAGCCATTTAAAATTTATTCTAGCATCTGTCTGATTGCACACAAGCACTTTTGTTCTTTTTCTTTCTTTTTTATTTTTTTCAAGTCTAAGCTCTGTCTTACCAATTGAAGCGAGTGGAGGGGAGGGTAAAAGGATATTTACCAGTACATGAGCATGCCAAACTGTGAGTCCACCCACTGGTAGCACTCTCAGCTCCACCCCTTACCCCTCCCAGTCTCCTAGAGGAAATAGATATTTATAGGAAATTGCAGCTCTGAGCAGACATGACCATCATTTTCAGGTATCAACTCTGACATCCTCGGAGAGATAAAGTGCCAGAAATTGATGCCATGTCAGTAGAGGGTTTGCTGTCAACTTGCTGCCTGGCGCAGTAGCTATGTTGACTATGTGTGTCTGCTTGTGTGTGCTCGCATGTGTGCATAGACAGGCATGTACATCAAGATGCATATTGAGCACAAGGATCTTGTGTGGGTTTAGCACACAAGAGTGACTGCCGGCATGTGACTATACCTGCACTACCGTGTGGGTACAAGGGGTGTGTATGTGGATTTGAGGGAGGGCATTATGTGGTTTTGTATCTGTATATTTTTAAGGGATTAGAAAGTACTGCAAAGGGAGATGGTTGCAGAAAATTATTTGTATCAGACTCTACAGATGGCCTTTCCAAACCTTAATTCAACGTGGGAACATGAAAGATATGTCTCCTGAGAGACACAGTTCTGCCTTTTGGAAACTCCTCATTTGCCACAGAACCTGGTTACAACTTTCCAGAAGCTCTCCATCTGAACAAGATTATTGTGGACATCTCATTAGCGCATTGTATAGTGGTCTAGCTGCATCTCTCTCTCTCTCTCTCTCTCTCTCTCTCTCTCTCTCGCGCGCGCGCGCGCGCGCGTGTGTGTGTGTGTGTGTGTGTGTGTGTGTGTGTAATTGTTCCACAGAGCAGGGAAGAGATAGGAGCACATGTGTGTGTTTGTGCATCACTTTAGTCACATCTGTGTGCTCTGTGTGTGATGAAAAGAGTCACCCTTTGGTCTTAGCCTGGCCTTGAAGAGCGTTCTCATGTGCTCCTTTGAAAATGATGTTCTCCAAGGCCGTTGACTCTGAGCAGGAGAGCAAGGAGCCAAGATGAGAAGCTGGGGTTTCTTGGGGGAGGAATCTAATCAATCCATCATCATTTCTCCCTCACAGAACTGTCAACATGAAGATCCTCATGCTGTTGGCTGTAATCATGGTCTTGGGTAAGAACTGAGCTGATGACTAACCTTAAGTGGGAGAATCCAGGTTGGGAAGCACCGTTGCCAATTTTCCTTTGATGAGAGCAGAAATTCGTTTGGTGGGACATAGATAGATACAACCGGACTAGGGGAAGGGAGTGACAGAGAGGCTCAGGGAGGGACAACAGAGAACTTGGACCGTGTCCGCAGCCAATTTCTTTCCAGGCTTCCTACAAGCACAAGGGAGCTCATTGGATTTCAAGGAAATGATTGACAATACATTAGGAAGGGACGCTGCATTAAATTACAGCTCCTATGGTTGCTATTGTGGTGTTGATGGCAAAGGATCTCCCAAGGACGCAACAGATCGGTGAGACTACTTCTCATTCATTTTCTTCTCTTCACTTCTATCTCACAACTCCAGGATATCCAGGGTGAAAAAGCTTCCAACGAGGTAGTCACTCTTCTCTAGGTGACTGCATGATCACTTAATCTTTGCCCAAGACAGAAGAGCTAAAAGTAAAGTGGTGACTGACTTCCTTGAACTAAGGGAGAGAGGCCCTAATGTTATGTCTTCCTTAGGTGCTGTGCTAAACACAACTGCTGTTATAGGAAGCTGAAGAAATTTAAATGTGACACTAATTTGCTGAAGTATAAGTTTTCTACGAGTGGAAGCAAAATCATCTGTGGTAAGAAAGAGTTCTATGACTTCATATGGTTTCCTTATGGGGTGTCCAATTTGCTGAGTAATAGGCTGGCCCCTCAGAAGAGAAATACCTGACTCAAAAAGTATAAGTAAATGGTTGTTGTCGTTGTTGTTATGTGCCGTCGAGTCGCCTGCGACTCATAGCGTATGGAAGATTAATATGGTAAAGATTTCAACAGGAAATAAACAAAAAGAAAGAAACTTGAATACAACCTAAAGTTCATGCAAGTTTCTAGAAACTTTTGAACTCTAGGTTGAACCATAATGTTCAGGGAGGAACGAGGGAAGAGAAGGGGGTTGGACAGTGCACAAAGAGGGTATAGTGTGGTCAAAAGCCTGGAGTGTGTTCAGGGAATTGTAAGCAATTCTGCACTGCTAAATGGAACCCGACTCAGGCCATGATCTTTCCAGTCACTTGCTGTGCATCTGAGAGCTGGACAACGCGTAAGGAATACCAAAGAAGAATTGATGGCTTTGAATAAGAGTATTGAATATCCTATGAAATGTAAAATGAACAAATGGTTATGTCTCAGAGAATATAGAGGCAGTGTGCTCTTTGGAGGCAAAGATTTTAAAGCTTTGTCTCACATACTTGGGGTGTGTTGTCAGGAGACGCTATTCCTTAGAGAGGGACAACAGGCTTGGAAAGGTGGGAGGACAGCAAAAGCGAGGAGGATCCTCAACCAGGTAGATTGGCCCCATAACTATAGTAATGCACTTGAGTGTAAGAAATTGTGAGGATGGCACAGGGTAGGACAGGTTCCAACTCTGTTGTTCATAAGGTCCATATGAGTTGTACTCAACTTGATGGCACCTAACAGGCCACAGGCAACTCAACAGCACATAACAACAATAACAACAATATATTATATTGGTTGTTTTTATTTAAGCCTCTTGTTTAAAGTCAACAAGACCTCATGGAGGTCCTTTGTATTTAAAAGTAGGTTGTTATTATATTTTGGAGGAACATTCTTCTGAGTGGTACAGCATTCTTCTTTCAATATGCTGCACTGAGGTAATGTGGAGTTGCTGTGATGTTGAACACTGTGCCATTGGGGTGTCAGATGCCATAATGGTTACCCACGGTAGACAGTATTTTGTGGCACTCCCAGTTTAACACAGGTTTGGAAGCAGAAGTGGCATCTGCTTCCTAAGCAACATGCCTCTGAAAATTCTATGAATTTTGATAGATGACGATAGTTATAGAAAGGTTTCAGGTCTTTTGTTCATAGGGTTGCCATGAGTTGTGCTCGACTCAACAGCAACAAGCAACAACAACAACTACATATAGAACCAGGTGGCAAAGAGAAGGTGTGGTGAGCTGCTGTGCTGTAGAGGCAAGAAAGATCTGGGTTAAGTCAATTGGGAACAGTGGGGTTCAGTGGTAAAATTTTCACCAGGAGACTCAGGTTCAATTTTTGGCCAGTCTATCTGGTGCACAGCCACCGCACATGTGTCAGTGAAGGACTGATGGTAGAAAAGATTAAGTGGGATTTCTGGATTAAGATGGACTAGGAAGAAAGTATGACAATACAACTATCTTATTGAGATTTCTAGACTAAAATCTCTGTGGGAGCAGAGCTCTTTTGTCCCACAACTATTGGATGAGTTAAAACTGCCCCTTTTTCAATTAGCAGTCACTTGCATAACCATTACACCACCACAGCTCCATCCTATAACAACAGGGAAGTATTAATCAAAGGAACATGGTTTGCATTACTGTGGGCTTATTTTGGCATGAGATGGAGAAAGGATGGGATAGGAACCAGAAGCAAGGCTACTACTATAATCCAGACCAGAGAAAGTAAGAACATGACATAAAACAAGGGCAATGAAGATAGACAAGAAAGGAAGAGACATTTGAAAGACAGGATTATCCAAGTTTTATAATGGAGTTAAATAGGGATAGGAAGCTATTGAGTGTCTATGTGACTATGTAGATGACACCATCACACATGAGATAAAGACCAGAAGAGGAGGACTGAAGCGGGGGTATAAGGAGAAAAAGTTCTATTTGGGGTTGTTGCATTTAAGGGGCCTCGGAGGCACACAGAAGACATCCAGAAGGCAGCTGAACGAATACATTTATTGCTCAAGCTAAGTTTTACACTGAGATATGATGGTACAGGTAGGAGTCATAGAATTGGACATGATCATTCAATTAATGTTGAAGGGCCGATCCAAAGAGGCATCTGAGTAGAAATCACTAGAGAGAAGAAGAGAATACACATAGGAGAATCAAAGAAGTAAGAAGACAGCTGCCAAGGGAAGACTATTTATTAAGAAGAATCCATTGAACAGAGGAGTTAACTATGACGAGGACAATCAAGAGACCTTTGGAATTAGATGCAGGAAGGCCATAAGGCGTTCAGTCACAGGTGTCCCCATGGATTGCTGAGAGCAAAGGCAAATAGATTGGAGTGTGGTGGGGAGTAATGGAAATAAGGAAGTAGAAACAATAAGCACAGGCAACTTTCTAGAAAGTATTTGGGGGGGAAGTCAGAAACCAAATGGGGACTGTACAGGTTTGCTTAATATCTTCAGACAGCATATCCCTGAGAGAAATTTTGAGATAACATAACATAGACTCTCAACCAACAGTGTAACAGCTACTCAGAATAAAATACTGCATCTCTCCCAATACAACCTTCCCATTGGGTTGTCTATCCTTAGAAAAGTTTGGATTGCTAGGCTAACTAAAGGTGCCTTAGACAGTGAGAGTATATGACTGTCACATAGCAAGAGCTCTTGTAGAGGTAATACCAGGCTAGGGCTGCTTCTCAAACATATAGTCAAGGATCCAGCTTTTCCTCACTTTCTGTTCTGTCGTGTTGGCAGGATCTGTAACTCATGCTGTCAAGGCACAAGCTGCAGCTCCAAGCATCATGATCTCAGAAGGGCTTTTTCATCATATATCTATCACCTTTTTTGACAGAGGCAATTAATCCTTCCCCAATGCCCTCAGTGACCTCCCCTTAAATTCATTAACCAGAATTCAATCACATGGAAGTTAGGCACCAATCACTGCAACAAAGAAGGGCAACTAAGCTGGTTTGGATGAATCAGGGGTCTCTCTCTCAGAATCTGGGCACTTGTCCTCCAGGACAGATCTGTTAGCAAAAGGGAAGAGACAATGGCAGTTAGAAAGGCATTTGACAGTCTTACAAAACTTTGCTGCTGTGTGTTCCCATTAGACTGGGAACTAACTTCCTGTAGAAAGGAATTCTGTCTTCATTGGTCAAGAATACTTGGAACACAGCTTGTCTCTGAGGAGAAACTTTTGGAGTATGGGGATGGTGTCTTCTTACCAGAGTTCCCAGAAGAAACCATAGAATAATAATAAATCTTTCCTCCCTTGTTTATTTTCTTGTGATTTCAGAGGACAAGGATGTCTGTAAGCGTTTGCTGTGTCAATGTGATAGAAAAGCTGCCTACTGTTTTGCAAAAAACAAGAACACCTATAATAAATCTTTGCAGTTCTACCCCAATTCGATGTGCACTGGGAAGACTTTGAGGTGCCGAAAGCGAATTTTCCACTAGAAGTCACACTCCACAATGTTGAGTTTCCTTCTCTAATCCTGCCACTCCCTGCCCTCGTCAACTCCCCTGGGTATAAAGAAATGCCCCTTTGACAAAGGCTCCCCTTCTATTCCTGCCAGATGGTTAAGCCAAAGCTGCATCATTTATACCTGGTTTCTTCCATAGCAGAAGTTGATACACTCCTGGGGGTCCCTTCTGAATAAAGCAATTTACTGGCAAGTTGTGTGCCTATGTTTGTGTGAATATGTGGAAGTGTACACAACACTTCCCAAGTTTAACAAGGGTGCTGTGAGGTGGGCATCCCTCTGCACTGTTAGTGTGGGAACAAAATATGCAAGCTAATGCAGGGCTGGGGTGTGGGTATGGGTGTGGGTGTGGGTTTGTGTACTGTTGAGTCTGATCCGACTGGCACAGGAAGAGATTGCCCCTCCTTCTCCAGCGGAGCATCTAGTAGATTCAAACCACGAGTTTTAGGATTGCAGCGTGTTGTTTTTATTTTTGTTGTTATTAATGGGCAGAGCAGAACTGCTCCTTAGGCTTTTCAAGGTTTTGTACTCTTTCAGGAGCAGCAGGCTTGTCTTCGTAGGTGCCTCTGGCCAGTTCTTCCATCCAACTTGGAGTGCTTAGTCATTTGAGCCACCCAAGGCCTCCTAATAGTGTGTATTATTGTTACTGCTGTGAGCTATCTGAGTGATTCTGGCCCATAGTGACCCCTAGTGCCCCAGATTTATTTGTCTGTAATTCTTACAGAAAGACATTATCAGGTCTTCCTCCTATCGAGGCACTGCATTTGTTTGAATGGCCAACCTTCCAGTGAACTGTTATTGTTAGGTGCTGTTGAGTTGAGCATGACTCATAGCAAACCTATGAACAAAGATAAGAATCCTGTTCTATCCTGAGCAATCCTCACACTTCCTGACACACGAGATGCCATTGCAGCTGTCACTGTGTCAATCCACTGGGTCTTGAGTGTTTAATCCTCATCTAATGTGTTGTATCAGCATCAGGATGGATGTTTAATCCTCATCTGATGTGTTGTAGCATCAGGATGGATCG